TTTTTATCACATTATTTGGAGAAATAACAAGATGCCAACGAGTTGGAGAAAGAGTACCCGTATTCCCTTATTTAAGAATAAAGGTGATGTACAAGAATGTGCCAACTATCGAGGGATTAAGCTTATGAGTCATACCATGAAACTTTGGGAGCGAGTGATTGAGCAAAGACTTCGAAGAACAGTGAAGATTTCAGAGAATCAATTCGGTTTTATGCCTGATCGCTTAACAACTGAGGTTATTCACCTTCTTCGGCAACTTATGGAGAAGTATAGAGACGCTCACAAAGATTTCCATTTAGTGTTCATTGACTTAGAAAAGGCATATGATAGGGTACCTCGAGAAGTTCTTTGGTGGGCCTTAACTAGAAAAGGCATTTCACGCAAGTATATCAGCATCATCATGGATATGTATTAAGATTGTACTACAAGTGTCCGTACTAGTGTAGGGAAAACTGCGGAGTTCCCTATTACTATCGGAGTGCACCAAGGATCGGCTCTGAGCCCTTTTTTATTTGTCATAATCATGGATGAACTTACAAAGTCAATTCAAGACGATATACTGTGGTGCGTGATGTTTGCCGACGATATTGTATTGATTGATGAGACGCAATCAGGGGTTAAAGCAAAGTTGGAAGTATGGCGACAAACATTGGAGAACAAGGGTTTCAGACTAAGTAGGAGCAATACAGAGTACATGGAGTGCAAGTTTGGTGGAGGTAGAAGCAGTGGTAATAGCGGAATTACTTTAGATGGTAAGGAGATACCGGTCAGCGATATGTTCCGTTACTTGGGCTCCATAATTCAGAAGGACGGTGAGTTAGATGGAGATGTATCCCATAGAATCAGAACAGGGTGGATGAAGTGGAAGAGTGCGTCAGGATTTCTATGCGATCGAGGTATGCCGACTAGACTGAAGGGTAAATTTTATAGGACATCAATTAGGCCTGCATTACTGTATGGCACAGAGTGTTGGGCGGTGAAACAATGTCACATTCAAAAGATGAGTGTGGCAGAGATGCGCATGCTGCGTTGGATGTGTGGGCATACTAGAAAGAACCTCGTGAGGAATGAGACAATCAGATAAAGGGTGGGAGTAGCACCTATTGAAGATAAGATGCGGGAGTCGCGCCTACGGTGGTTTGGTCATGTGCATAGAAGACCGAGTGATGCACCTGTGAGACGAGTTGAGATGTGTGGAGAAGAGGCAGGGAAGAGATGGAGAGGAAGGCTCAAACAGACGTGGGTTAGGGGAGTCAGAAGTGATATGCTTCTTCTTGGATTGGATGAGGGTATGGCTTTGGAGAGAGCAAAATGGAGGGCGGGTATTCATGTGGAGGAGTGATCTTGTATCATCTTTTCCCCTGTTTTTTTTCTTTTGGAAAAAGGGGCAAATAAGGCCACGTACTAACCAAAAAGGACAAATAAGGCCTTATTTATGAGGCTCTGTCCGGCATTCGCCATTTGGGGTGGTTCTCGGTGGATTTTTTTGATGAAATTTTTTTACCATCTTATTCATTAAGTCTAGTTTACTCATACCAAATTTCAGCTGACAATTCAATCAGGATGGCATTCAAATGAATTCTTGAAGATAACTGCGCTTTTAACTACGCAGTTATCTTCAAGAATTCATTTGAATGTATTCCCGATTGAAGTTTTAGCTGAAATTTGGTATGAGTAAACTAGACTTACTGAATAAGATGCTCAAAAAATTTCATCCAAAAATTCCACCAGGAACCACCCCAAACGGCGACGGCCGGACAGAGCCTCTTAAATAGGGCCTTATTTGACCTTTTTTTGTCAGTACGTGGCCTTATTTACCCCTTTTCTCTTTTCTTTTTTTTCTTTTTTTTTATATATTTTTATCCTTATATATAAATAATGAAGATGAGGTGCAAAGGTTGGATTATTCATGAATAATCAAAAGGTGGGATTATTGAAAAAAAACCGCTAAAAGGTTGGATTATTAGTTTCCATTTTCCCTATATAAATATTACTTTATCCTTTTTATTTTATCTTTTCTATGTATATTCATCTCTTTTATATTATCTTTTTTTATAATAGCTTATCTTTTTTATCTTTATTTTCTTTCTTTTCCTTTTGGTGATATCATGTATCGATTCATGTTAGCCGACCCCAATATCGTTTGGGACTAAGGTTTGGATGTTATTGTTGTTGTATCACATTATTTTCAAATTGATATGAATTTTTATAAGATTTATCAATACTCTTAAATTTTTTTAAATAACCTATTACAATTTACAACATATCAAAATGACTTGATTGATTATATTAAAAAACTAAGTGTACTATGATGTTTTCCTTAGTAGAAGGGTCTATTTGAACATCTTCCCTAATACTAGTATTAGACTTCGGTGATTTGTTAAAAAAATCCTTCACCGAATCATTATAAAGAATACATTATTGTTACTGATGAATTTCAGATTGAATCAGATAAAAATGAAATTGATGAATCATCAGGTCCACCTTTATTGGACTAAATTGAAGAAGAAATGGACTCTCCAAACTCAAGGAAAACAAAGACAAAACACAATTCTATAGAGAAACAATGTAGCTCAACAAATGTGGACAGATGTAAATATGCACAATAGATGGCGAAAATATAGCGTGAAACTATTTCTTTCATTTAGAATTTAATGACATAGAATTTTGGTTTAGAATCCATTACAATTCATGCAATTCCAAATTTCCAATTTCATGAAATTATATTAAAATCTAATAGAATCTGTGGAATTTCATTAAAATTCGTACAATCAACCAATCCATGAAAATTTATGTTGGGAACACTTTAAATTTAACATATTGTCAAACTTGAAATGTTGCCAAGTGTATATTCTCGTTCGAATGCAATGTAAAATTTCCTATTAACAAGCACTAAACCTATATGTCTGCCTAATGCTAATTCTCATTTTGTATGAACCGATCACATTATTCACATAATGATTTTAACCGGTACAATTATGATCGGAATTTCATTTAAATGTCCACTCGAAAGTCGAAAGTCTATTTTCCGATTCGGTAATTTTGTCCCCTCTAGAAGCAAAGGCAATAGTTGCTTTGAATTGTCACTCGCCTTTTCAATTAAAGGCAAAACTATTTTTTTACCAAATAGCACAACAATTTTTACGTATTGAAAATCAATTTTCATTTTTACACATTATCCACTTTTACGATTACTCACATTTAATTTATTTTCTAAAACATACTCTATAATTTTCTTACTAATTTTCTTCCAAAATAGAAGCAAACGCAAACTCTTATAGACTAATCCCCTTCAAAACCTTCAATCCAAACCGACCTTAATAAATTTCACCTATTGATTTTCACCTGCACAAAATAGAAGCAAAACACAAACACTCTTGTAGAGTAATCCCCTCCAAAGCCTTCAATCCAAACCGACCTTATTGAATTTCACCAATTGACTTTTATGTACTCCAAATCTCCAATACTTGCCATTACTGATTTTACACCTAATAATACGTACTCCATCCATCCATAGAGGAGTTCCCGCGTTCTTTTATGAACGTTCCATATTTATGAATGTTCCATATAAAGATTCTTATTTCCTAAATAATTAACAAGCTTAAATGATAAATTAATCATTAAATGTTCAAAATAATACATTAATAACATCACAATTATCAACACTAACCCCATTATATTATACCAATTAAAATTATTTCTCAAAATATACTTGAACTACCTTATTTAATTATTGTCTAAATAATCATATCACTTTTGTCTTGGGAAACTTTCAATGGGACAGAGGTATTTTGGTAATTTCTGCTTAGTTTGTTCTAGCTTAAGCTCGTGTGAATAGGATATAGGGAAAAGGGGCAAAAACACCCCTGAAGTTGTCACCCATGGGGATCCATGCCCTTAAACTTTTCTTTTGTGCAAAAAACTTTAAAATCTTTTATTGGAGGGCAATTTGCCCCTTCACTCACGGTGAAGTAATTTGACGGAACTATCAATTTTTAAGTTGCTTCTTTCAATTAATTTTGTTTGTTCATTAACTAATTTTGTAAATTAGTTGACATATATGAATATATGATATAAAACTTAAAAACGATTAGAAAAGAATCCATATTACAAGTAGAACTACCAAACTCATTTGGTAGCATATGGTTCAAATTATCAATCAATTTTTTTTATCAAACTATTTGAAACCGGCTGTTTTAGCTAAATTGTTTAATAATCAAAATAAGTGCGGTTGAAATTACGTTTCTGATTAAATTGACACATATTAGTAAGAGTCAGCTATTTTAGCCTTTTCATATGACTTTTTCTTTATACTACATTACTACTACATCCGCCCCTTACAATTGAGATAAGAGGTAGTAGTGCGGTTACTAAGAAAAGTGAGATTGTGTGATTAGAATTAAATTGGTAAAGGGTGAATAAAATAAGAAGATATTGTAATCGCCCAAATATTAACAAATATGATATGCGACAAACTTAATGAAACAGACGAAAAATGTAAAATGAGACAAAGTTAGAGGACAGGGAACATTAATAAAAATATATTTTAAATTTAATTTCTTTGTAATTCAATAAATTCAATTAATTGAGTCACTTCGGTCAGAATTTGATAAATTTTAATTAGTTGCGCACATTTCATATTTCTTAATATTTATATCAAAATATAATACTCCCTCCGTTTTCTAATAGATGAGAGTATAGAGTTTGACACAAGTTTTAAAGCAAAAATAATAGGTGTAGTGTAAAAGGTGTAGTGGGTTGTGTTTGAATGAAAAAGTAGAAAAGAGAATGAAAAAATAGGAAAGAGAATGAAGATATATAGATATATTTATTGAAAAAACTTTCTAAAAATGAAAAGGGAGAACAATATTAAAGAACACCTCAAAATAGAAAGTGAGACATCTATTAGAGCACGGATGGAGTATGCTTTTAAGTACCTAATTCGATTTTACCATATCAAATGAGCTCTAATAGAGTATTTTTTTTCTAATCGCTAATAACCTTAATGTATAATCATTATTTCATGATTTTTCCTCTTTTTATTCAGTACTTGTATATGTAATAATTTTTTTTATATTTTATATTTCAACTAATTTACAAACATAGTTCATACAAATACCGTACAATTAAAATTTATTCCGTTGAAAACTCAAAGGAGCATGCTTTAATGCTTAGCATTTTTAACAGTTGCTATCTCTGTTGCATTGATTCACCGTGACTCCGTGAGGAAGGGGGTGATTGCCCTGCTTTGAGGGGTTTTAAAGTTTTTTGCACCAAAACAAACTTTAAGGGCATATATGCTCTTTGGTGTCAACTTTATGGGTGTTTTTGCCCCTTTTCCCTAGGATATATAATGCTGATTTTGTGTCAAGTGAATGTTCATAAAACATCAGAATTTTCCATGATCACCGAGCATCTTGGTGTGCCTTACAGATTGCGGAACCATAGAAGACTTTTTGAAATGGGTTTGGAATTGTCTGTTGATGCTATCCACATCGATCCATGATTCCATCATTTCCATCAGAACTTTCAATGACGTCATAATTGACGTCATTTCCATGACGTCAATTAACAGCATGCTTTCAATGCATCTCAGTCTAGCAATCTAGCATTCGAAAACCGAAGGTAACATTTTGAGGGCCAGAAGACATTTTATTTCCAAAAGACCGGTAGGTGAAAACCGTTCATACACAAAACAGAAAAGGTGAAAATGAAAAGGGAAATACTTGCGGAACAAGATGCTTGAGTATGAACGCTCTTTTAGAGAGCCTTAAGGATTTCCTCAGCACCAGAGACAGTGAATTCTCCACCAGATTCAATATTGGCAACTTTAACCGTGAGATCTTCAACCAAAAGTGCAAACCTTTTAGATCGAATGCCGAGCCCTTTCTCTGAGAGGTCAAGCTCAAGGCCCAGAGCACGGGTGTAGGTGCCAGATCCATCAGCTAAGAACTTGACATGTTTGTTGTCCGGGTAAGTCTTTGCCCATGCTTTCATCACAAAGGGGTCATTCACTACACATGACAAGATTTATAATAAATAAAAAAAAGAATTACGTGTATACTCAAATCTCAAACTATCAATCTAGTTGCCAAGAAATATTATTACTCTATACTCTCTATATGAGGTGACAATAAAAAAAATCTATCCATCTGGCCATGTCTTTATAAATTATACCAACTATTGAACTCAAAGTACTATTTCTTGTCATAAGGCATGGATTTTTTATACAAAAAAAAATCTATAATTATACAAACTATTGAACTCAAAGTATTTTTATCTATCCAGTCATGTAGCAAATAATAGCAAATTTTATTAAAAATGTCAACAGAATGATAACGTGTGCAGAATCATAATAATAATAATAATAATGATAATAATAATAATAATGATAATAATACTAATAACAACAACAATAATAATAGTGAAATCTTTGAAATGCAATCAGTTTCTTCCTTTTCATTGGTGCTTTGATGGTTTGTCCCAGGTATAACTAGTGAATTTTCAATTTTGTATAGTCTGTTATGGTATAAAATGTGAAGAAGAAACAGATTGCATCCCAAACGTTCTACATAATTGCCTCTCATTCTAGCATAATAAAATCAATTCCGTATTGGCAAAATAAATTCCCCTGGGGGAACCACCACAACACTATTCTACTACCTCCATCCCACTAAAGCCGAAAGGAGGTGGCACTATTATTAAAGATAGTAGGGTTATGTGGTTGAGATTGAATTGATAAAGTAAGAATAAAGTAAGAATGATTTAGAGTCACACAAACTTTACCAAATTTGATATGGGACAATTGTAGTGGGATTTCCCAAAAAGGTAAAATGAGACAATCTTAGCAGGACAGAGAGAGTAATACTTTCATGCAGACAAACTGACTCGAACCAGGTTAAAAAGGAAGGCACAAAACTATACATGAGAACTTAAAATAAATAATAACCTAGAGGTAGAATGCCACACTTTTTAAATATTTGAGTTCAGTTCAGTTTTATGAAAGCACAATTTATACAAATGCCATGATTTAGTAAATAATGGCCTACTTATCTTGTACTGCTTGAGAAAAGTTAATGTCATTAATTCTTTGTGGACTCGTCTTGAATTTCAAATAGGCATTCTCAAGTTCCATCTTAGCTCAAATGAGACCGATTCTTTTCAATAACAGCATGAGCACATCTAAAAATTAAAAATTTGTAGTTCCAGTATGTGAACTAACTTTAAAGGAAATATCCCTATAGTGTTTTTTTACAAAGTTGAGAATTTATGGATAAACAATTTATTTATATGAGAAACATACCTTTGTAATGAATTTGGAACAGATTTTGGGTTGCAAAAGGTGGATGTTTCAGAGGGTAGAGGCGGGGGTGGGCATAGTATACAGTACAGAGTTAAGGGGACAAAGTGGAACAGCAAGGGCTTGAAGAGGAGGACGGAAATGTGAGAAGATTATAGGTAAAAGGGCGGATTGCAGCCACATTCTGGAATGGTCAAATGTAAATGCTTAGAGGACACTGGTGAAGGAAGAATCAAAAAGCAAGTATCAAGCACATCAAGAACTGCAACCATTTCCTACAGCTAATATCTGGCTCATTTCAGCTTACTGAGCCATAAAGTCTTTTAAGCAAAATTCAATTGACAAACATCATAACAACTAGCACGGCTCATGATTAGCAATTTACCCTGATTGGCTTATTCCCACGTTTATTGGCTTGTGGAGTTTTCAAAATAACATTAATGGAAGAAAAAGTATAATAAATTCCAAAAATTAAATATAACGGGAGGGTTTCAATTTTATAGTTAATCTTAAACATAATGTTTTTTAGAATAACGGGAGGGTCATTGAATTTCATGGGAATAATATTTTTATGGAATAGTTACTACATGCTACGCAGTACTTTTTGCTTAAAAATGCATTTTTAGGTGGAATACAAGTTCTCGGGCTAGTTTTGAAGCAAAAGAAACTCTTTTTTCAACACATTGGGCAATTCGAAAGGAGGGTTAGAGGCAAGATCCAGTTGAAATGATATAAAACGTACCACTAAGACAGAGAATATCGTCAACGCCCTTGGAGATTAACTCGTCGGCTTTCTCAATAAACCCAGGCACATGCTTCATGCTGCATCGCATCAATATCAAAACATCCTCACAATCAAAATTACAATCTTTCACGTATTCAACATAAAGTTTTTAATAAGCAGATCAGAGAATCACATAAGTACTTAGCAACAAAAACAAGAATCGCAAGATCATGTGACCTGCAAGTGGGAGTGAAGGCTCCTGGAACGGCGAATAGAATGACCTTTTTACCCTTCGCGAGCGAATGGATCGACACCGTCTGAAGCTGATCCTGCTCATCAAAGTAGGACAAACTTCCTTCTGGGATAACTTCGTTAACGGCGACCGGAGCCATTTATGAAACCAAATGTTCTCTGAGGAACGGGAGATCAAACAAATCTGTGTTCCGTGGACTTGAATCTGGAAATAGGCTGAATTGAGAAAATAATCTTTTAGAATCCGTCATTTAATACGGAAGAATTAATTTCACTTTCACCGTAAGATCCGTGACTCTGTCTAGAGCAAGGTTGTTAAAATCTTATTTTTGAATCGAATCGATAAATGTTTTTGAAAATCGAATCGCAAATCGTAAGATTTTATCAAACATATTTTAATAATTATAAAATAAATAAAAAAATATTAAAATTAAGTTGCAAGTTAATGGTATTATATCATTTAATTTCATTACATAAAACTATACTTACAAGGTCAAAAACAAGATTTGTAATATGTTTTTATAATGTAAACGTAGTGATTAATAACATTAAACATGTGTAACACATAAAAATAGTTAAATAACACAAGCATCCATTACTCTTTAAAATATACTATTCATATTATTATTATTGGAATTATGTATCAATTTGTAGTCACTAAAAAAAACTTATTACGATTTTGCTACGATTTTGCTACGATTTTATACGATTCTACACGATTTTAGTACGATTTGTTTACGATTTTGTACGATTTTATGATATTACGATTTTACCTGCGATTTGAATCGCTTTATTAACGTAGAATCGTAAAATTGTACGATTTTACGATTTAAATCGAGATTTTGACAACCTTGGTCTAGAGTCTAGACATCGTGATTTAGCCGTGGGTTTATGTTCCCTAGGGCCTACCCATCCATTTGCAAAAAAATTCCATCCGGATCCATATGGACCACGGCTCATCCGACCCAGCTTGTTGGTCCTAACTAAGTTCAATCTTAAAGCCCATTTACACTACTTTTTTTTGAAAGGCCTATTTACACACTACTTATCAATTAATTATTCATTATCCATAATAGTAATATAAAATAATAATAATAATAATAATAATAATAATAATAATAATAATAATAATAATAATAATAATAATAATAATAATAATAATAATAATAATAATAATAATAATAATAATAATAATAATAATAATAATAATAATAATAATAATAATAATAATAATAATAATAATAATAATAATAATAATAATAATAATAATAATAATAATAATAATAATAATAATAATAATAATAATAATAATAATAATAATAATAATAATAATAATAATAATAATAATAATAATAATAATAATAATAATAATAATAATAATAATAATAATAATAATAATAATAATAATAATAATAATAATAATAATAATAATAATAATAATAATAATAATAATAATAATAATAATAATAATAATAATAATAATAATAATAATAATAATAATAATAATAATAATAATAATAATAATAATAATAATAATAATAATAATAATAATAATAATAATAATAATAATAATAATAATAATAATAATAATAATAATAATAATAATAATAATAATAATAATAATAATAATAATAATAATAATAATAATAATAATAATAATAATAATAATAATAATAATAATAATAATAATAATAATAATAATAATAATAATAATAATAATAATAATAATAATAATAATAATAATAATAATAATAATAATAATAATAATAATAATAATAATAATAATAATAATAATAATAATAATAATAATAATAATAATAATAATAATAATAATAATAATAATAATAATAATAATAATAATAATAATAATAATAATAATAATAATAATAATAATAATAATAATAATAATAATAATAATAATAATAATAATAATAATAATAATAATAATAATAATAATAATAATAATAATAATAATAATAATAATAATAATAATAATAATAATAATAATAATAATAATAATAATAATAATAATAATAATAATAATAATAATAATAATAATAATAATAATAATAATAATAATAATAATAATAATAATAATAATAATAATAATAATAATAATAATAATAATAATAATAATAATAATAATAATAATAATAATAATAATAATAATAATAATAATAATAATAATAATAATAATAATAATAATAATAATAATAATAATAATAATAATAATAATAATAATAATAATAATAATAATAATAATAATAATAATAATAATAATAATAATAATAATAATAATAATAATAATAATAATAATAATAATAATAATAATAATAATAATAATAATAATAATAATAATAATAATAATAATAATAATAATAATAATAATAATAATAATAATAATAATAATAATAATAATAATAATAATAATAATAATAATAATAATAATAATAATAATAGAATCATACTCCCTATAGCTTTTGAAAGACAATCTAGGTTGAATTCCAGTACAGTAAAATCATTGGTTTTCTTATAACAATAAAGATATTTGTACTCATCTTTATACTCACTTTTATACACATCATGTCTGTTGGAGTTTTTTATGTGAATCCAGTTCACAGAAAAAATATGTCTTATTTAATGCAAAATTTTCACACACAAAATAAGACATATTTTTTTGTGTGAATGAGATCTATAGACAAAATGTCAGTCGAGCGTGTATAAGGTATAAGCGGAAGGAATAATTCTGATATCTTAGGGTTGGGTCTAAACGCCCATATAAATACAAGTACAAAAGTGGTGTTTAAGCATTATAAGGAAACTAGCTAAGGTAATTAAATAATAATATTAAAGCTAGTAATAATAAAGATCCTTATGGATCCGTTAACAACGGTAACACTCCCCCCTCAAGTTGGAGCATGAGGATCAAGAATGCCCAACTTGCGCAAAAGAGAGTCAAACTGAACTTTCCCGAGTGCTTTGGTAAAAATGTCTGCAAGCTATATAGTAGTGGGAACATAGGACGGAGCAATGAGCCCAGCTTGAACCGCATCTCGTACAAAACGACAATCTACTTCAATGTGTTTAGTGTGCTCATGAGAAACCGGGTTCTTAGCTATATGCAGTGCTGACTGACTGTCACATTACAAAGGCATAGCTTTCAACCACATTAATTCACATGTTGCCTGATAAGTCCGTATTTTGACACGCATTTGATGTGTGTTGAGATCGGATTTTGATGGTTTCCCTAGCTTTAAGGTGTTGCAAGTCTCAATTTTAGCTCAGGTTATGTTTACCGGGCGTTGGTTCGAGTTTTGTGTTGTTTGTAGTCAAAATCAGGGAATTTGAGCCCAGTACCGGCACTTGAGGAACAATCGGGATGATTTGAGAAGCATTTGAGAATGATTTGATAGCTTTGGAGGTCACCGGAAGATTCACGATGAAGATTTGAAGGAAAAAAGAGCTCTAGGATTGGCTTCGGGATCAAAAGAAGATGAATGAAGCTTGAAAACGACGATCAGAATGACCTTCTGTCAATTGTTCAAGCATATCTCTTTGTAGAAACATCCAATGTACACGATTCAAGTTCCATATGAAAGCCAACTTCAAGAGCTACAAATCATATGAAGACACCTTTGCGAGAATATGAGAGGAAGAAGGTGAAAACAGACGATGAAGTCAGATGATCTCTGCTGCGATTTCAGAAAGACACCTTCCACCGTTTTGATCATATCTCTTGATTGGATGATTCAAATCACATTCGGCAAATTGGGGTGGATAGAGGACTTCATTATCTACAACTTTCATGAAGGAAGTTTTGTAAATTCGGAAGTTAAGTAGGCACGATCGTGCCCTCAAAGTCAGACACGATCGTGCCTGAAGAGAAAAGCACCGCGGAGCTACTGCCAGCCAGGCACGATCGTGCCTGGAGGGAGGCACGATCGTGCCTGCCCAAAATGCGCGTTTTTGCTCCGGAGGCACGATCGAAGGCACGATCGAAGGCACGATCGTGCCTGGCATCGTGTCTGGCTCCGAAAATCCTAATTCAGCTCAAATTTCACCCGATTTTTCTATTTAAACAACCTATAAACCCCCGTTTTCAAAGGGGGAAGCTTAGAGAGAATGCCTAGCACGAATTTTAGAGGGCTTTTCAGCCTTGTTCATCAATCTTTTGGGATTCTTTGTAAGTTCCACCTTTTTAATTAATGACAATTAATTCTATTCTTCCCAATTCTATTGATTCTTCAATTATGAATTGTGAGTAGTTTTAATTAGGGATTTGGGATTGATGAAGGGGTTAATCATGATGTATGGCTAGATTCTTTTCGGTTTAATTGTATGAATGTCTTTTAATTTGTGTTTGAATAATTTAATTGATATCTTTTGTAACCTAGAATCGCGACTAGAATTACAATTGCATGTAGAATAAATTAAGAGAGATCTAATTTGTTCTAGGACACAGTCACACACACTTAATCGTTCGCTAAGAGATTAGTAGCGATTAAGGGGCCGTAAGCTCGCTAGTTTTGGCAATAATTTAGGATCCTGTCGCATGAGAGATCAGCCTGGTCCCCTAAATTATTGTACTCTACGCCGCGAGAGCGGTAAGAACTTAGTAATGATTAGCTAGGCTCAATTAAATTAATTTCATGTAATTAGGCCTGATCTGCCAGAAATCTTGTTACCCCGGAATCGATCCCTGTTCCCTTCGTCATTAATTAGAAAGAACCCCCTAGTTTAATTGGTCGCATTAGTTTTATTTTCCAAACCAACCAATCTCGCACGACGCTTTTATTTTATTTTCTTTTTAATCGCTGAATTTAATTAATTCTTGATTCCCTTTTGTCCGTCCCTGTGGAGACGATACTCGTACTTACACCACTATATTACGATCTATTTTAAGTGCGAGAAAACACATATCAGTTTTTGGCGCCGTTGCCGGGGACGGTGTCGGTTTTAAGGGTTAATTGATTTCAGCGAGATTTTTTTTAGTTAGTTTTCTTTTTGTTTTTCTTCGTAGGATTTTTCTGTGCTAACCTTTCAGGTATTTTTCTAAGAGGAATGAGATGAACCCATTCAGCCAAATTCCTGGAGGAATTCCTTACCCTCAAACCTCCATGGAATATTCACCATATACGCCATACCCTCCTTACACTCCTCCTCAATATTACACACCTCATCAAAATTACTCTCCTACACCACAAAACATTCAGCCTTCTTATCCGTACACTCCAACCACTCAACCCTTTCATTCTGATTCTTACTATCCTTCATCACAATACCCTTGGGT